AAACTAAGCATCCGATTTGAATAATCTAAAAAACTTTCTGCTTGTATTGACAGAACAATTGCTTTTGAGGATAAAAAACTCTAACATCTTTTTTCATTTTCCATAAAATATTTTTGTAATTTTGGATTCTAAAATACAAAAAATTACCCAGACTAAGCATAGTCTAAGGGCAACTTTTGTACAAATGTTTACCCAAGTGCGTTTAGACCGTTTACGTACTGAAGCGTTTTTCCAATTGTGAAAACTATTGAAAAATGTGAAAATGCCGCCAAGCTGAACACAGTATAAGTGAAAATGTCGAACAGAATTATTTGCAAATGCGTTTAGACTGTGACTATACGGGAGCACTTTTTCAATTTTTTGCAAATTAGGCAGCTATTTTTTTTTTGAAATTGAATTCGAAATGAAATGACGATTGTTAATGTTCTGGAGATAAATTGATTGATGATTTGCATTTGATTTGCTCATAAATAACAAGATAGCAAAAATAGTGAAAGTTACAGTATTTGTAATAATGTATTTGAAAACGTTTAAAATTTCTCGAATATTTCACGGTACGGGAAGTTCTAGCAATTTGCTTTAAGGCACGATGCCATACACCACTAGTTTTTTAAATGATTTGAATTTTAATTTTAATTCTAGCTAAAGTTCTAGAACTCCCTTATATACTTCAAACAAATAATTTTAACTTTGCAATTCAGTTTATATAATTCTTAGAAATATGAGATAAGATCCTTCATTCTAACTTTGCTTGATTAAGTTTTGTTTATTCACTTTTCATGTAAACATATATAAACGTCGTCGTCCAATTCAAAAGCTTTTATATTACGTCTATAAAATACCAATAATGAAAGTTACAGTATTTGTAATAATATATTTGAAAACGTTTAAAATTTCTCGAATATTTCATTACGGTACGGGAAGTTTCAGCAATTTGCCTTAAAGCACGATGCCATACACCACTAGTTTTTATCTAGTAATTTTTAAAATTTATATTTGGTCATTTCCTCCTGGGTTGCTCTCTCAAAAACAATACATCTATGCCATTTATTATAACATTTAAAAAAATCTATGTCATTTACATAACATAGACATTTATACATTAACATAGTGTAAAATTTAAAAAAATCTATTATCATCTATTAATTTCTTCCACCAACTCCCAGTCTATATATATAGAGGGGTACTTAATTTCGAGTGCTATTTCGAATAACCCGCAGAGAGTCCGACTACTCCGCCGAGTACACACTACTGACGTGTCTCTCCACCGGGGCAGTGGGGGAGTGATGTGGCGTTTTAGGATCGTCGTCGTCGTAGTCGTCGTCGTCCACTCACTCACTACACTAATTAGTGGAGCGGATAAAGCATTTCTATCTAACGTTGATTCAATAATAACTTGCGATAAACGATATATATATGGAATATATGATAGTAATAATTTAGGGATGGAAATATTTTATTTTGCATTGCGATTTTTATCAATAGTTGATCAGGATGTTGATTAATTCTATTAAAGCAAGAGTGGATTTTAGGTACTATATTTAGTACTTTAGGTACTATACTATATTTAGTATTTTTTATGTAAAATTTCTTCAGGCGTGACTAAGGAGTAACAAAGCGAAAGTGCAACGAAAGTGCGTTACGCCACAAATACTTATTCATCATTGGCCATAGATCGAGATCGTTTTGTGGCGTGTATACTGTGTTATATCGTCGAAATATATTACAAAGTTGTACATTTGTTGTATTAATAAATAACGAATTACACATATTAAGAAACATTATACTGAATTTTCAGCGTATTAGAATCATATATACGTCCTGACAAGCTCGTTTAAAAGTTTCTTCAAAAATGTGGACTCCGGAAATTTTAATGCCGAAAGTGTCTGTGCACGTTTTGATAAAATGTGTTTTAAATGTCTAAATATACTAAATTACCAATATTTCAATATTTAATATTTTTATAGATATATTAAAAAATGACTCACCAAAATTACAGCATTCTAGTACGATCCTGACGAGCTCCGTACAAATCTGAAATTAAAAGAAATAAGTATTAATATTGTATGCTTATCTCTGAAATCTAAATAATAGTTTTAAAATTTAGATATAGCTCTAAATTCTAGACATATATTTAAAATTTAGATAAAGTTCTGAAATTTAGATATAGCCCTAAATTTTAGAGACAGCTCTAAATTTTAGAGTAAGTCAAAAATTGTAGAGACAGCTCTAAATTTTCAGATACAGCTCTAAAATTTAGATACAACAGCTCTAAATTTTAGACACAGCTCTCAATTTGAAAGTAAGTCCATAATTTTAGAGTCAGCTTTCAATTTTAGAGTAATTCCAAAATTTAAAAGACAGCTCTAAATTTTAGAGTGTATCCAAAATTCAAGAAACAGCTCTAAATTTTAGAGTAAGTCCAAAATTTTAGAGACAGTTCTCAATTTTGAAGTAAGTCCAAAATTTTAGAGATACAGCTCTAAATTTTAAAGATGCAGCTCTAAATTGGAGACAGGGCTCTAAATTTTAGACAGGGCTCTAAATTTTAGAGACAGCTCTATATTTTCGATACAATAGCTCTAAATTTTAAAGATACAGCTCTAAATTTTAGAAATACAGCTCTAAATTTTAGAGATATACCTCTTAAAATTTAGATATAGCTCTAAATTTTAGAGACAACTCTCAATTTTAGAGTAAGTCCAAAATTTAAGAGACACTTCTAAATTTTAGAGTCACTTCTAAAAATTTTAGAGACACTGCTAAATTTTATAGACACTTCTAAATTTTGGAGACACTTCTAAATTTTAGAGACTCTTTCATATTTTAGAGACACTTCTAAATTTTAGAGACACTTCTAAATTTTAGAGTAAGTTCAAAATTTTAGAGACAGCTCTAATTTTTATTTACAACAGCTCTAAAATTTAGAAACGACAGCTCTGACATTTGAATACAACAGCTTTAAAATTTAGAGAAACAGCTATAAAATTTAGAGATACAGCTCTAAAATTTAGAGTTAGTGCTCTAAAATTTAGAGCTCTATCTCTATATGTAAACTTGAAGATACTTCTAAATTGTAAATTCAATTTTAGAGATGTCTAAAATTTCAGAGATATATCTAAATTTTAGTGAGATATGTAAATTCTAGAAATATTTCTAACTCTTGGAGATTATTCTAAATTTAGATATCTTTGAATTTTGGAGATATTTAAATTTTAGAGATAGCTCTAAATTTTAGAGATCTATCTTAATTTTAGACATGGAACTAAAATTTAGAAAACATTTTAGAGAAAATAGATTTTTCTCAAATTCAGAATGCTCTGAATTATAAAAAATTTAAAAAAAGAGATAGTTGTAAATTTTAGTAAATTTTAGAAAAATAGTTCTCAATTTTAGAGAATTTTCGAGAAGAGATAGCTATAAATTATAGAGAACTTTAGAAAAGAAATTATTACTATAAATCTAAAAAGATGGTTCTAAAATTTAGAAAACTTTGAAAAGAGATAGTTCTAAATTTTAGAGAATTTAAAAAAGATTTTTCTAAAGTTTAGATATAATTTAAACTTTAGAGAATAATAGAAAGGACATTGTTCTAAATTCTAGAGTATTTAAAAAAAATCGTTCTAGTTTTTAGAGAATTTTAGATAATAAATTATTTTTAATGGTAGTTCTAAATTTTTGAAAATTTGAAAAAAAGATTGTTCTAAATTTTAGATATAATTCCAAACTAGTTAGAACTGTGAGGACAATTACAACTCTTAAAACTAAAAAAATATTACAACTGTGAATGTAACTTAAAAAATGTAAATACAAATACAAACAGAACTACCGGAATATTTTGGTCATTATCTAATTCGTGACTTTTTCGTTTGTTTTAATTTTCACCCCTAAATTCGACAAAACCTCTCTTTTCCAACCCACTACTTGAAGAGGAAATTAGTGTCGGATAATAGAACAAGGACCGTCGAATTTTGTTTGCATTGACCGTCAAGTCCGAGGACAATTCAGGACAACCCTAAAATTGAAAACCGCCCTTTTCCTCCACCGGAAAAGTCGATGGGTTGAGGGACAAGTTGTCTAGGACGATTCTATTTCTGTTGTCATCGGGGAATTAATAAAGGACTAATAAAGGACTAATAAATGCATGTGATGGACTACAGGACTAGGTAAATGATATAGCAGATACTTGGTAATAACAAATACTAGGATTATTTTACCACTACCCCCGACTATAGTTTTCACAAACTACATGAGTCCTTTACCTTAGTAATCCTCCTCCTTTAGAACCATAATCAAACTATCATTACGACCCAAATATATTTATTTATAGTTATCAGGAGAGAGACGCAGGATTCGGTCAATCTGATATTAATATGTTATTCAACTCAACTATCCTTAAAAGGTCCTTTAGAAAGGAATCTGCTGGTTGAGTTGCCTTATATTTTCTGGTTCTCATTTCTAGCAATATCTATCTACTGTGAGAGAGTATTAAATATGCATGGAGCAAATGGAGGGATTGGAGGGATTGGAGGATTGGGGGGTTGGGGGATGAGAAAGTTGCAGGGAAAAGCCTAGATGAGATGGAGAAGAAAATCGCAGACGAAATAAGTTGATAAATAATACTAGATTTGTTTATTTATTTATCAAAGAAAAAACGAAAACAGCCAGAAAATGGACTTGCTTCAAGTTTTTTCGACGTTGCAGTCACTCTGAATCGTTTGGTCAAGAAATTCGTCCAGATATATATATATATATATATATATATACTAGCTGACCCGACAAACGCTATCTTGCCATCAAAAATATTTTACCGCTTTGCAGAAGTTCTTATAACATACGTGATATATTAATAATAATGTTATACATTTATTACCCAATTTTCTTTACATTTCGATAATTAATTCCAACGCATCATAATGTTTGTTTATTTTAATTTTATTTATGTCAAATAGTGAAATATTTTTTTTAATCAATGAATAAATTAGATTTTAGTCTGAATCAACGCAGTACCATTATCTGAATATATAATACTTTATATAAATATCAGACTTCTTACTTTTGCATTTAATTTAAAAATATTAAATGTCAATTTCATATATCCAGTATGCACTAAATTTATAAATGTCAAAGTATTTCCGTCTTGGTCGAAAATTAATATAATATGATATAATTTATATCAATAATTTGATTGGCAATATTGCCTATAACATAACTTGGAATAAATAATTTATTTGTTTCTTATTCATTTTTTTTTTTGAACTGTCAAAATTTGGTTTATTATTAATGTTAAATTCAATATGTCGCTTTTTTATTGTGATCTATAATGTTTTAATCACTTATCATATAAATTTTCGACTATAAATTGATATTCATACTATCCCTGAAACTAACATGGATAAAGTTCTGAGAAATCCGAGTCCAAATCTATGAAATGTTTGATTTTTGGCACTTTTATTAATTTTTTATCAATTTTCGTACTGTAAAATAATGGATGATTATTTATCAAAATTGTAATATTTAGACTATAATTTTAGATGAATATGCTATCTACTTTGGCATAGTAATTATTATTATTATTTTTTTTTTTGAAACCAAGTGAAACATAAATATACTCGTATTTATTCGATATTTTTCCATAAATATCCGATTTATGACATTGTTTTCAATTATTTTTAATTTATTTTGAATTAGCAAATGTCAAAAAATATAATTTATAATATAATGTAATTAAAATATGCATTAAATATTGTCTATAAATAGTATATCATTTTATAAACAGTATTTATTACTTTGGCGCTTGATATGGGTATGAATTTGTAATAAAATATATTCTTTCTGACAAATAGTTAAAAACTTGTTATAATTTTCAAAATTATTTGACATTTTATACTTCAAAATTTAATTCACTCGCATCACAGTTTTTTGTTTATTATACTTTTGTCATGTCATATATGTCAATAAAATTTTCTTTCGTGTTTCAACTAAAAAATATCTCTAATTAAATGACCTTATATCTAAATATTATTATAAATTAATAATTATTTTAAGTCATCAATCAATAAATTATATAATTGTTAAATCCATAGGTTTGGCTAAATCAACACAGGAATATTCTAGAAATAAATAATTTTTTACATAAAGGTCTGAATTTTGACATTTGCATTTTATTTCAAATTAATTATAACTGTCAAAATATTTTCTTTTCGGTCGAAATTTAATATAATATGATATAATATTTGATAATAATGATACCATCAGATTGTACTATTCCATTTAAGTGGTTATAATTTCCTGTAAGATTACAATTTGCGATGACAATCAAAATATATCTCAACTGATATATTAACAATAATATTATATTTTAATTACACAAATTTCTTCACACTTCGATAATTATTTCCAACGCATCATAGAGTTTTGTTTATTTTAATTTTGTTTATGTCAATTTTTATTTAAATTAATGAATAAATTAGATTTTTGACTAAATCAACGCAGAATCTTTATCTAAATATACAATTTTTTATATAAATATTTGATTTTTTACATTTGCATATAATTGAAAAATAGTGAATGTCAATTTCATATATCCAGTATGCACTAAATTTATAAATGTCAAAATATTTCCGGCTTGGTCGAAAATTAATATAATATGATAAAATTTATTTTACAATAATGTTTTCTATCTATAATTTGTTTGGCAATATTGCCTGTAACATAAGTTGGAATAATTAATTTATTTGTTTCCTATTGAAGTCGTTAAAATTATTTTTTGTGAAATGTCAAATGTTTGTTTATGATTAATTTTAAATTCAATATGTTGTTTTTTTATTGTGATCTATAATGGTTTGATGAAGTTTTGGTGTCCGTTATAATTTGGTAAGCTAATCTAATAAATATAAATTATAAACCTATTGATCTAATAATTTTCATAAATATTGACAAATGACATTTCACTTTTTTCATGTCAACATTTATTTAAATTTATAAACATTGATTTTAAATAAGATTTAAAACTATAAACAGTGATTTTGAATATAGCATTTCATCTAATTTGGATATAAATGTTGGATATATCTATATAGGTATATGTTTTTGAATTATATTTTTTGAACTGTCAAATTTTTTTTTTCAAAAATCATAAAATTTTTTTCTCGAATTTTCCATAAATTTTGACATTTGACTTTAGTGTTTTGTTTTTTTTGGTCATTTTCTGTCAAAATTTTTAGAAATTTATAAAAATTATATATTTATATTTCAAATTTACTTTTCAAAATTTCCTATAACCTAAGTTATAAATATATGCAAACGATGAGCCAATAAAATTCAAAATCGGTACAGTAGTTTGGGCGTCCATCGCGAACCAACATTGTGATACGAGGTTTATATATATATATATATATATATATATATATATATATATATATATATAATTTAAATCATCCCCATTGATTTCCTGCGTGTCTCTATTTTACAAATGAATTCCTCTATCCTCGACCGAGGATTCTTCTTCTAAGCAAACATAAAACATATGTGATCCACATTGTGAGTGAATATGACTGACTGAGTAGAGGAGACCGGAGAATTTTGGGAGAGTGGAATGAGAAAAAGACCCTTCGAAGGGACCGAATAAAATAAGAGCGTATTATACATGGCGTGTTGTCAGAAGGGTTTTATCTGCGGTGTAATTGTTGGGGATTATGTAATAAGGATCGAGATTTATGAGCGAAAGTGGATGAAAAATGGAGGTTTTAATTGTTTATAATATGTTGTAATGTGACATGTGAGAGGATTCTTAAATCTAAAGCCAATTGGAATAAATCCAACTTGTCGTATATAATTTTTCAATGGGATCTTGTAATAATAGTTTGTATTAGAATGTTGAAGTATACCGAGTTGTTTTAAGTAGAGAATGCAATACCGATAGAAAATTTCAATACCGGTATTTTTCATTTTAAAACCGGAATACCGGTAATTTACCGGAATTTTTATTATCTTAAACAAAATTGAAAGTTACCAGTACAAATATAAAAAAATGTATATACAACTACAGCTATATTCAACTAAACAATAAAATAAAACAATAAGTTTATTTTTTTAAATAATAATTTAACAAAATTATATCCAATTCAATTAATTCATTATCACTATCGAGTATATTGAGTACTTTTCACCAAAAACAAACTTATGAGTAAGAAAGACCAAAAATTAATAAAAGATCATATTAAATTATTATAATAAACTGTATTGTCTGTATTCGATGTATTAAATTAACATAATCTCCAATATTTTAAAAAAATAATTTTTTACACTAATTTAAGATCGGATACTTTGTCGAGATAAATATTAAGTTACAATGTGAGCTTCTATAGTATTTTTAAACTTCGAAACGTTTTCGAAAAATAATATTATATAATTGTAATAAGAAGCAAAAATATTTAGTAATTATCATAATTATTATGTATAAAGTTAGAAAAAAAAAAAGATTACGCAGGGGTAATCTGTATGATATAAAACATTTTGTCGCAAATATCACTTGAAAAACCGTTACATTTTTACGTAAGATTAAACAAACATCATAATCTATCAGTCCAATTCTATTTATCGTAACACAATATGAAGCCCTTTGGGAAGCAATAAATATTCAGTTTAATGACGAATTGAGATAATATTTGACATTTGTTTATCCCATAGAATCACTTGAAGATATAGCTGTTTATGCGATTATGGAATTTGAAGATAAATTTGTTCCGAAAAATTTAAACTTTAATGTATTATTAGGGTAACCGGTATTTTTGGGGTAAATACCGGTAAAAATACCGCCGAAAAAGCGGGCGGTTTACCGGTAATTCGGTATACCGGTATACCTGTATAAAATTATAAATAATTTAATTCTGTACAAATTTGTTGAATATTCCATTTATTTTGTATTTACTGTTTAGGAGTTACAAAAGATATGACAAATCAATGCAATAATTTGATTTTTTTGAGGTATACCGCGTTGCTGTAGGGTTTCATAATGTTAGACAAGATTATGCACAATTCAATTTTATGCAATTTTGTTAAACATTTTATGTACCTTAGATGAACCGTTTAAAAGTTACAAGCATTACAATATATAAATATATACGGCTAATAGCACCTTATGAAATTCTATTGATTCCTATGTTTAAAATCAATTTTAAAGTATACGGAGTTGCTGCAGGGTATTATGATGTTAGGCTAAGACATAAACAACATAATTTTATTCACATTTGTTGACTATTTCATGTTCTTTTGACTTACTGTTTAAAAGTTACAAAAGATACAATAAGTAAATGCGTAAAATAAATAATATTGAAGATTTCTATGTTCCAAAAATCTGTATGCCAAAAATAATTTCAGTCAAGAATTCCATGTGTCAAGAATTCCACGTGTCAAGTATCAAGAAATCCACGTGTCAACAAATCCACGTGTCAACAAATCCACGTGTCAAGAAATCCACGTGTCAAGAAATGCACGTGTCAAGAAATGCACGTGTCAAGAAATGCACGTGTCAAGAAATGCACGTGTCAAGAAATGCACGTGTCAAAAAAGCC